GGCACCACCTTCTCCGGAGTCGCTTTTGCGTTCGCTACCAATAACGAGGCCAAGGAAGATATTATCACCGAATGGCCGGGTGCGGGCTCTTACACAAAGCAAAAGGTTAGCCTCCCGTGCTTCGAGGATGCCAATTTGCCTGGCTTGGAGATCCAAGACTAACGCCACTTACATGACAGATTCCTACCGTCTTGTACTATGACCAATATCAGAAGGTTGTGGGATGGGGCCCCGATATTGCCGATGCCCTCGCCCCAACCGGCTACCCCAAGCCAGGAGTACAAAAGGTGGAATGGTTCAAGCTGCAGCTAATGCTGTCGGGCAACACCTATATTGACCCCATCAACCTGCCTCCCCTCCCGCCAGGAAAGTCCGAGATCGATGTTGCCGCTGATTACCTCTTCAAACTCCGCCAGGCCATGCGCGCAGCCCTTCAAAAGACGCTCGGCGAGGTGTTCAATCGTGAGGAGAGGAATATCCGTTACTATCTTACAGTCCCTGCTATCTGGAACGATGCCGGCAAGGCAGCCACCCGTGCGGCGGCTATCCAGGCAGGCTTCCTACGTGACGAGAACGACAACCGGCTGACGCTCGTCAGCGAACCCGAGGCCGCTGCTCTGTTCTGCTCCAAGACGGGTCTTCTCAACCTCAAGATCCATGACGCTGTTCTTATTGTCGATTGTGGTGGTGGTACTGTCGATCTTATCGCTTACGAGGTCGAGGATGAGAACCCGTTTACTGTGGCAGAATGCACGGCCGGTTCTGGCGATTCTTGTGGGTCTACAGCTCTTAACAGGAACTTCAGTAACATTCTTAGAACCAAGATCCGGAAGATGAAGCTGCCCGACGGGTCCAAAACGGCTGGTCGTGTCTATGCCAAGTGCATCATGGATTTCGAGAATCGAATCAAGGCCGATTTCCGGAATAATGGTCAGAAATGGGCCGTCGATGTCGGTATCGAAGCAGAATTCCCCGAGGCCGGCATCGAGGAAGGCTACATGACTTTCACCAACGAGGAGATCCTGCAATGCTTCGAGCCGGTTGTTAACCGCATCCTCGAACTTGTAAGAAACCAGATCATCGCCATTCAAGCCCAAAACCGCACCCTCCAGAACATCCTGGTGGTTGGTGGATTCGGCGCGTCCGAGTACCTCTTCCAGCAAATCAAGCTCCACGTCCCACCACAGTTCCAGTCCAAGGTCGTGCGCCCGATGGACTCCGTTGCCGCCATTGTCAAGGGAGCCGTAACCGCCGGTATTACTGAAAAGGTCATTACGCACCGTGTTGCTCGCCGTCATTATCTCATGGCCACGCTGCAACCCTTTAAGGAAGGGTACCACCCCGAGGCCTATCGGGTACCATCCCTGGACGGCAAGGACCGCTGCAAGTTCACACGCCAGATCTTTGTACAAAAGGGCCAAAAGGTGAAGATTGGCGAACCTGTCAAGGTTTCTTTCTTCCGACAAGTGGCTCCTGGCGCGACCTTGATGTACGAGGATATCCTCTACGCTTGCGATGATGATGTTTGCCCAGAGTACACCAAAGACCCCAGTAAGTTTCCTGGTATCAATTCCATCACAGGCAGAATGCTAACGAGCTGAATAGGAATCAAGGAGGTCGTAACACTGACTTCAGATTTATCACGCAAGAACCTGGAGAAGGATTTCGAGCGCATGGACACGCCGCAAGGCACCTTCTACCGAGTCTACTTCGACATTTATTTGACTCTAGATGGCTCAGAATTCAGTGCTGAGCTCGTTTGCCAAGGCGAGGTCATGGGTCGGTGCCGTGCCAGGTTCAGATAAAACAAGGCAATCGGACGGGAGGTGGTGGGAGTTACCACACTTTTGCTTTTTTGACATCTCCGAATGATACCTCTTGATTATGACACACTTTCTTCATTCTCCGTGTTTTTCTTTGCAATTTTCAGCGCCGGCGAGGGTTAAAATCTACACCTACTTATTTCTGTCATGGTATAAGGAAACCACAATGGTTCGTTCATTCATTCCCATTCTTACGTTTCGATATGTCAGTTGGTTGGAAAGAGATATTATGTTTGCTCTTCTCTTTATCCTTCCATCGCCTCTCTGGAATATTAGACGATGGCGTTTATAAGTACGTTAGCATGATAAAGACCAGTGTCTGGCAGCCGATTATCGGCAGACTATTTTATCCAATGAAGCAAGATGATCTCGACTCACCGAAACTCTTTTAGTATTACGTGTAGGTAGAGGCTTGTGAGCCTTGATAGGGTTGTGTCAAGGATCTGATGATGCTTAATGCTTCTTAATGAACTGTTGGGTTTGATGTGCGTTACAGCCACTTGAACGAAGAAGTGACCCAGTTAATGTCCGGTAAATCAACCATCATATTGTTTGGTCTATTACTGTAGATCCTTGGAAGGATCTTGGAGTTTCACCTTTTCCAACAAGAAAGATACGGTCCCTGCTTTCAACGGAAGGCGCCCCTTAGATGGTACCTTTCTTGTTCAGCAGTACCTGTCAATCTGGAAATCCCATCAAAGCCGAATAATGGTAGGCCGGAGAGGTGGGAGTGTGCATGCAACGTGGTTGCGTGGAATCGTGGGTGGTTCTTGCCGATCACTTCGCTCCTGCGTCATAGGTCGTTTGTCCTCGACCTTGCACCGCCATACTGCGCCTGACAACTTCACCACTCCCACTGGACATGGGGACTTGGCAACTGGGCATTGATGGGTAAGGCAAGTCTCCAAGTTGAACGGAACTTTTTACTTCAAATCATCAGATTGCGTACCTCTGTTGTTGCGTACCTGAGAGAGATGAGGCTGTCCTCCAATCAGGGCTGTTCGCCCACTTTCCCAATTCGGTAGGCACTGTTCTGTCAACAAAAAGTTGGTCTCGCCTGCCTCGTGAAAAAGGTTGGAAGGCAGGGAACAAAAACCTGGTCAAAAACGAACCCTCCAACTGCAGCCACCACCACCAACTGGGATTTTCCCGGTGTGGTATGTAGGCTGTTAGTCAAGATGCCTTCCTCACTTACAAGTATATATCGCCAGGTGCCCGAGGGAGCTAGCTACCTACGTCCTCGGAATGGAGGACACGGCTTGAGCACGCATCACCTGCATTCCCTTCTTTACGTCCATCGAACCTCAAACGCAGATCTGTATCTATACCCTCACTCTTGGTTTTGAAGCCATCCTCATCCTCTTTTGTGTACCTTTTTGTAACCTACATCCTCGAAACAGTATTCTTTCGGCTTCTGCTTATTCCTCCTCCTCATACTTCGTTGTTACGTTTTCCTGGAATACCTTTCTACCGGACTGGCAAATATCACCGCCGATCTCGTCCATTCACCCGGGCGAGAGAGATCGAGATGTCCAGGGACTTTCACGAGATTCGCCATCCCACCGGACGTTTTGGCCTACATGGAGAGGCAAGGACAGCATCGGGGAGAGGATATCTAGGGACAGGCAAAGGGAACAGACATCAACCATGGAAACTCAGTTCTGCGCTGCTCGTTTCGCTATTACTCCTCCAAGTTCAGGCCCAACAGTTGAAGTTCCAAGCCCCCCCAGCAAACCAGAAGTGGTCAAGAAAGAGTGACGATACTCCGACCCCGCTGATTATCACAAACAACTGCCCCGACCCGGTATGGCCTGGCATTGGAACACAAAACGGCATCGGGCCTGGAACTGGTGGCTTCACTCTCTCGTCGACCCTCAGTGTCCAGTTATGGGTCAGCCCGAACTGGCAGGGCAGAGTATGGGGGAGGACAAATTGTTCCTTCAACGAGGACGGAACCGGTCCTAGCAACCTCAACGGCGTGAATGGCAATGGTGCGGCCTGCTTGACAGGGGACTGCTTTGGAGTCCTGGATTGTGCGTACAGTGTAAGTCGCATTCTCTTCTGACCACAGGCCCATCACAAGAGACCAAGTCGAAAAGAGCACCCCAGCTGACAGTCTTCTCAGGGCCAAGTTCCAACGACGCTCGCCGAATTCAACCTGATCGGCGGCTACGAAGGCAGACAGACCTTCTACGACATCTCCCTTGTAGACGGCTACAACCTCCCCCTCGGCATCGTCTACCTACCCGCCCAAAACACAACCTGGATCCCCCCAAACCTGACAAACTGCGCCTGCATAGCCTCGGCAGGCTTCCTCTCCGAGCCCGCTAGATCCGGACTCGCCTACACAAACTCGACGTACCCGATTCCGTACGAATCCTACCAGAACAACGCGGCCGTGGCCAACTGGTGTCCCTGGGACCTGCAGGAGTACCCGCCGTCCAAGCCAGGCGACGGGATCTACCCGTACCCGGACGACAACATCCAGCGCCCATCGTTTGACCCGTGCCTGTCGGCGTGCTCGGCTACCAGAAACCCGGCAGACTGTTGCACGGGCGACTACAACAGTCCCGGAGCGTGCCGGCCTTCGTATTACAGCTCTCAGGCCAAGATGGTTTGCCCGGATGCGTACAGTTATGCGTTTGATGACCAGACGAGTACGTTTATTATACCGACCGGAGGCGGGTGGCAGGTTGTGTTCTGCCCTGAGGGCAGGAGCACGAATATCTTGCAGGTGTTTGGGGATCAGATGAGAGCGCTTGGGAGCGGTAGGAACTTGAGCATGGAGAGGATTTTGGAGGTTACTAGGAATAAAACCTTCATTGAGCTCGAGAGGCCTATGGTGGGTGGTGCGTTATCTGGACCGCGGGTTTCGGGATTGGATGTGGTTATGGTGGGCTTGGTGGTGTCCTGGATGGTCTGGGTTTTCTGATTTATCCTGAAACGACTTCCCTGAGAACGATGGATGAGCTTTTGTTTGCATGAGAATGACGGGATTGGTTTTTTTTCCCCTTATGAATCGTATACCCCTATAGATACCCTTAGAGATGGCATGAATAGAACTGTATGGCTCTACCTGAAAAGGGCTTGCCCCTATTCGCGTCTCATCATCTGATGATTTGGTTTGGTTGATAGACTCGACTTTTGGGGGGATTGAATAGGTGCAAAAAAAAGATTGGTTCCTTGGTGTAGTGGTTAGCATGTCGCGTTTGTCAGAGGTTCTTGGCCCCTTCGGGGAGTGAAATATTCGTTGCCAAGGACGTACAGCCATTATATGGTCTGGCACGTGTTCGACTCTGGGTTCGATTCCCAGAAGGAAACCAAACTTTGATTATGCAGCCTTTTTTTTTTCTTTTTTCTTTCCCTGTTCCTCTTCCCCTCGGCTTGGTTCCTGGTACTGTCTCTCTCTGTCCCCAAGCGAGAAAAAGATAAGGGCAAGCACGAAAGCCGCCTTTATCTCTTTTGTGTTTGTCCGATAACCAAGTAGGGATCCCAGATAATTTTCATGGTTCCTATCGTGCTCACCATCTTCTTGATCTCGAGAGCCAGCCGGACAGAAAACAAGACAAGCCATGTAGAAGAGATTTCGGGGCAAAATAACCAGAGAAATGTGGATATCATAGAATAAACAAAATCGATAGATCTATAGTCCTCAAGAAGAAAGACAGGGGAGGAATAATCGACACAAAATGAACAAAAAAACAAGGCTCCAATGCACACACAGAAAATGAACCATAAGGAAAAGCCACGTCCACAACCGACCAGCTCCCAAAGAACCCCATCAACACAACTCGTATGTATCCCCAGTCCGCGCCTCTCCAGCCTGCCTGGCTCAAACCAAGACTGTCCATACTCAACTCCTCCTGTTCCTCCGTCTCCTCTCCCACTCAGCCCGCTCCTCATCATCACTCCCACTAAACTCTGCATCCTCATCCTCCTCCTCCTCCGCCTCAACATGGTTATTAACCACGAATTTACTATTCTTCGAGATCGAGACCTCATCCGCCGAGACAAAATCCCCCGCATTCAGACTAGCATACTCGTGCTTCTGAATAACCTCCTTCAAGCTTGTATTCCTCGGATCGACCAACTGCAGCGGCGTCAAACCACCTTTGTTCTTGACTCTTGGGTTGGACCCAGCCTCGAGCATCATCTCTACCAGTGCGTTTCCGAATTCCCGCTGGGCGGGGGGCTCGCTGTTGATCCACCGGATGGCGCTGTGCAAGGGGGTGTCGCCTTCTAGGCGGTTGATGGGGTCGCATTCGAAGCCGTCCTGGTCGAGGAGCATGTCGATCACGTCGTAATTTCCGCGAGACGCGGCTTCGTGGTAGAGGTGGTTGCCCATTACTGTTGTGGTATTGTTTAGTAGGTCTGCGGCTGCTTCGGGAGAGGAGACGGAGGATAGGAGTTCCGAGAGGAGGGATGTGTTGTCCCGCCTGCATGCTTCGATTAGTTGTTCTTGGATGGTTGCGCCCTGGTTGGGAGAGGATGGAAGTTAGAATAGTTTCGAGAGGGGTAGACGAGGTCGGAGGGGAAGAAGAAGTTCGAACCTCGTGCTCTTCTGAAGGTCCGGCCATTTTGGGCAGCACGATTTGTTGTATTTCTTTCTGGGCAGGATCTGCTCTTGGTATATATATTCCGCGAGATCAAGGATTGAGACCTTGCAGACTGTAGATCTATGAACTTGGTCTCCCTCGTGTGAATTTTTGATGTGTAGTTGGGTGGTTTATCACAACGCAATAGGGCGAGTTTGAATCGAGGGAGGCCAAATAACGGTCGCTGACTGAGGGGCTCTGTTTGTGAAGAAAATTGGTCAGGCTTCAGGGTCTATCGCAATTTAGCAGTAGAGAATACATACAGGGAGTACAAAAGCAAGTTATCAGATGGAAGTAAATGCAAGGAAAGGGCTGTCGTGAAGCCACGCGTTGCGCAGAGTACTTGCGTCGTTGGCCCTTTTATCACCAAGCTGAGCCAGGAGGTGGCAGTGTGCTTGTGCTGATTTGCGCGGGCGGCTCGGGGTGAGTGGTTGCCCACATGGCGGGGTTTCTCATTACGTGTGACGAGGGGATACCCCTGAAACTTGTCCCCACCCCCGTCAGAGAGAGCGGGGCCGGCGCCTGAGGACTTTGCCTGCCGCAGAGGTTCTCAGCGGGCCAGACTGCAGAGAGCGTGACCCACTCGCTGTCCCAAGCTGAAGCCAGCGTACGGTATTGTACCGTCTTGGACTGTATTGAAACAAAAACCAAACCTTCCAGGTTGGTGGGGGTCGAGAAGCCAAATTCACTTCAACCCATTTTAAGTTGTCTGAAAGTGACTCGATATAAACCGCCATCCCAAGCTCCTCTAATTTTACAAAATCATGAGTGACGAGATTCGATATATTGCACAACAACAGAAGTTCTCTCTCACAATTTCTCGTAGCAGCCGTCAGAGCTACCGGGCTTGCAGGGATCGACTCATCTGAGTCTCATCTTTTTTCTCAACACCAAAAAGCCATCGCCAAGGAAATTACACAAATTCACCATGCCCATCCTATGTAAGTGCAGCGAAACCTATTCGGCCACCCAACTAGATATGAAAAACTAACTCATTCGAAATCAAGTCTGCCCTTCCTGTGCAAACCTTCTGATCCTCTCCAGAATGGAGACGGGCAACAATAGGCTCGAGTGCAGGACATGCCCCTACGAGCACCTCATCGACAGGCCCATCTTCTCGCGCAAGAAATTCACCCGCAAAGAGAAAGAAGACGTCTTTGGCGGACCAAAAGCATGGGAAAACGCGCAAAAGGGCCGTGTGCAGTGTGACTCCAACAGCTGTAACGGCATGGAGGCGGCCTACTTTCAGGTGCAGATTCGCAGTGCTGATGAGCCCATGACCACTTTTTACAAGGTAAGGCCTCACCCGTTTCTTTCTTCTCTCTCTTGTCCATGGAGGATTTTTGATCCAGAACTAACAACTTGCAGTGCATGACTTGCGGACACCAGTGGAGAGAAAATTAGTGATTTCTTTTCCTTTTTTGGAACAGGCAAGGCATTATTATTTGTAGATGTGGTAAAAGTTGGAACTCGCGTGGTCGAGCGGTCTGTCAACGATACCATGCATTCACAGGAAGATAAAAAGGCATTGCGGGGCGTTGGGGTACTTTGATTCTTCGTTATTTTTAGACTTGGGGAGCCATACGGCAATCAAAGACTTTGTTTCCTTCCTCCCTGCATCCCTCGTGGAATGATTTTGCCTGCCCAAAAGCTCCCAAACTTGGCCTGATGCAAAGGCGAGTAGTTCCTGAACTCCCTTCCTGAACTCCCTTCCGTGACGACCTCCGGTGGTCCTCGATCGACTAGCAACCGACTCGGCTTCACTCTCAGGAGTCGTTTGTCCAAAGTTTCCATTGTGGGCAGAGTGGTACTTCCCGAGAGCTAAACTCACAAGCACTCTAGGCAGTTTGATTCACCGCCATCAGAGAATACTGCTCCTTCGTTGCTATAAACAGACACAGAGCCGTCGGTTTCCTCTGTGCTGATAGTCTCAACTTCTGTTTCTGTGGCTCCCTCCAACTGGCTATACATCCCATTTCCAGCTCCATGTGACTGATTCCCATGTTATTCTGGCCTTTGGTCATACATGAAAGCGATCGTTAGCAAACACAAGTCCACTCCTTCCCTCACAACTCCTCGGTCGATATCAACCCTCACGGTGGTGCTCCACACTGGTGCGCAATCCCTCTTCGACAAGGCGGTTGACGAGTTCCGGGTTGATGATGTCCTGGCGGAACCTTTCCTGCTGGAGAAGCTCCAGGTGCTTGAGAGTGGGTCCCGGGTATGTCAGGTACTTCAGGTAGGGAGGCCGGGTCCAGTACTGGAGGTAGGCCAGGTAGTTGACAAAGGCCGGCTCCGAGAGGTACTTGCGCGAGGCAAGATGGTTGAGGTACTGTGGATTGGCGAGAGACTGGACAAACTGCTGGAATGGTTAGTATTCGGTGTGCGAGGAACGTGGGGAAAAGAGACGCATACCTCTAGCTCAATCTCGAAGCGTGTGAAGCCGCCGTGCTTCGGCTCCTCGCCGTTGGCAGGCGGGGGAGGTGGCACGAGGTTCTCCATCGACGGGCTGCCGATGGACATTGGTCCTGAAGCCATTATGAGGCGAATGAGAGATGTGTTTGATGTTGTTGATTGATATTTGAATTGTTTATAACAGCTGATGTGCTGTAGAGGTACGAGTGGTGTTTTGATTGTTGAGGTTGTAAAACGCGGGCCGTGAGAAGGAGTGGCGGAGTCTATTTATGTTGAGGGTCGGAGATCAAGACTCGAGAGTGATTGTGCACTTGAGATGATAAGGCAAAATACAACTGTTTGATCCGGTCTGGATTCTGAACATGATATGAAGAGGTACGGGGCGACCAGCTCATCAATGGCGCTACAGAAAATAAGGAAAAATACTATGGAGGTTTGATCAATTATCTGTAGATGACACTGGTCAAAGAGTTGGAGGAAGGTGCGCGCCCCCACGGGCTGCATGAGCCTCATCAGGTTGCTGACTGTTCTAACTTCAGCTGAGTGGCCAAAGTGGACCCACTACGTAGCCAACATCCACCGTACGTATAAGCTCTAACCCGTACACACTGTAAGAAAACCATCAACTGACGGTGGCCATGTAAATGGAGCTTGATTGCTATGTCTTCACTTTTTAACATACTCCTTGTAGTCAATCTCATCGGCAACTTTGAGACCAGTAATTTCTACCTGTTGATCTTGTTTGAACCAAAAAGACTACATGGCTAGATAGGATAACGGTACATTCCCATGCATCTACCATTTATATCTCCTTCTCCCAGCTGTTGTTTTAGCCCGTTCCTCTCTTCATTCTTTTCAGAAAATTTAGTCCATAACTCAGTATGCCATTCATTTTCCCAGGACCCAAAGCCATGAATCATGTGAAAGGGTAAGGGGCCTTCACAGGGCACTCGTCGTCCACTTCTTGCCCGTTCCTAACCATTTCGCGTCGTTCCAGCACCCACTTCTTGTACCTCCTCCAGTACTAGAGCTTGAGGTTAGGTTGGTGAGTTTGGCAGATTTGCTCAACATCAAACGTCTTGTAATCTTGGCCGTTGACCGTAACACCAGGCGATCAAGGATGGATTCCCAAAGAAACCTGCCGTATCTGATACTGTCATAGTCAAGGTTCAGCAGAATACCTAAGTACTTACTGAGAAGACCCGCGAGTGCCTCTTCAGCAGTCCGATCCCCTCGTGTGCCTTGCCATCTCATATACCTTTGTAGGAACATGGCTTCAGGTTGAGTGACGCTAGAGTGTATTGCTCCATCCG